AGCATGGATAGTAGGGAGCAGCTGCATACCATACCACTGGAAGGACTGTAATTAGTAATTCCCTGCTCATAGAAATGGTGTGAGTAAGCAGCCATGTCCCTGACCAAAGATTGTTGAAAAGGTGGTAGTGGGGCTGAGAGTCAAAGTACAGCAGGGGCCCTGGGCCCACGCTATCTAAATAGGGACCCAATGAAGAAATCAAGGTTAATTAGCCTAAAGCGCTCTCACTCTCATCATATTCTCACATGTATGCATAAACTTAACTATTTATACATTATATATCCCAAGTGGAATGTAAGCTCCTTGTGGGAAGGGATTGTTTTTATTGTCTTTCTATTCCTAACACCTAGCACAGTGCCTTGTACTTGGCAATAGTTTAATAAATATGGATTGAACTGAAAAAAGAAAAATTTATGAAGAAATATCAACTGTCTCCAGTATCTAAAGAGTTATAATGTAGGAATATTTGATTTGTTCTACTTCACCTCAAATAACAGAACTAAAGGCATTATGGTGGTGGTGGTTTAGAAAGAGTGCTAGACCAGGTATCAGGAGAGACCTGGGTCCAGATCCCACCACTGAGCCACTATGTGACTAGGGGAAAGTCAGCTGACCTCACTAAGCCACAGTTTCCTTATCTGTAAAATGAAGATAAGCATTTATCTCACAGGGTTATTGTGAGCAGTTTCTAAAGCATTTTGCAAACCCTTACATTATCACAACATACAAATGTCAACTGTTATAAAACTGAATAATACTGAACAAGTATTTAGTCAGTACCTACTATGCCCAAGTCACTGTGCTAGGCACTGGTGATAAAAAGGAAACAAAAAATAATCCCTGCCTTCAAGCTTATACCTAGGTGATAATAATAGTAGCAGATCTCAATTCTGCATAAGGGAAAAAAATCCCTAAATATTAGAGCAATCAAAAAGTAGAAAGGACAATGACTGAGAACATGTTTAGTACCCCATCACAGAAAATCTTCATTGAGGAGGCAGAAGGGTCCTTCTTGTTGAGAATTCCTACTCAAATAGAGCTTGAACCAGAAGACATCTGAAATTCTATAATAGCATGAACTGAATTATCACAGAAGCACACTCTTGACTATATCACAGATGATTAGATTACATCCTGAAAAAACCTTAGGACATAGAACATGAAATATTAGAGCACAAAAAACTTTAAAACAAAGATTAATGAAGGTTTTATGCATTTAACATTTAATACTGTATTCCAGGGTCAACTGTATGTATGTCTCATCTTTCTACTACATGGTAAACTCCATGAGGACAAGTGCTGTATCTTACCTAAACATTCCTCAGCACCTAGCACTATCCTCTGTACACAGCAGGAACTTAGTAAAAGATTTGTGAGTGGGAGGGAGGGAGAGAAAAATTTAAAACTCAAAAGCTTACGGAAGTGATTGCTGATAAATCAAAATAAATTAATAAAAAAATTTTAAAAAAAGATTTATGAATGAATGAATCCCAGGACTAAAAAGAAAAGAAACTCAGAGGCCAGGGAGTACAACCCATGCCTAAAAAGGAATCCCTCTACAAAATCCTTGGCAAGTGGTCATCCAGTTTCTCCTTGAAGACTTCTAATGAAGTTTAACCTACTACTTCCTGAGGTAGCCTGTTCCACTGCTCGGCAGCTTTGCTAGAAAATGTTTTTCTTATAACAAATCAAAATTTGTCTTCCTACAACTTCTACCCATTACTTCTAATTCTGCTCTCCTCAGGCCAAGCAGAACAAGTTTAGCTACACTTCCACCAACAGCCCTTCATATAACTAAAGGTGACTATTATGATCCCAAGTCTCTTAACAGAGTAATCATTCTCATTTCCATCAACTTGTATGCCATGATGTCTTCACATCCTGGTCACTCTCCTCTGCCTGCTCCAGCTTGACAACATCCTTCCTAAAATGTGACACCCAAAGCAAAATACTACAGATGTGAACTTAGGTGAAAATAGAGCGAGACCACCAACTTTTTTTTAACACAATTCTTCTAGAGCAATCCTCAACTGCATTACCTTTTTGTCTATCACCCTGATTAATGAGCTTGCAAAGCACTAAGACCCTAAGATTTTTTCATATGAGCCATTGATTTGCCATTCCTCTCCAATCTTCTATTTAAGATGGGATTTTTTTTTAAATTCAAGTCTAGGATCATAATTTTACCTCCACTACTTTCATCTTATTAGATTCAGACCATCATTCTAGTCTGCTGCATTGTTGCATCTTATCTTCCAATCTATTACCTCTCTTTCCCAATTTTGTGTCATCTGTAAATTAGAGATACTACCTATGCCTTCACCCAGACCATTGATGAAAATGTCAAATAGTATAGGTCCAAGGGCAGATCCCTAAATTCCATTAAAGACCTCCCTCCAAGTTGACATCTGCCCCATTAACTACATCTCCAGTCATTCTACTGGAGACTACATATCTCATAGAGACTATAAATATAGTTATGGTTTCACCTTCCCTAAGCCTTTTGATTCATTAAGAGCAAAAAAAAGAGGAAAAGGACTGATATGTACAAAAATACTTATGTCAGCTCTTTTTGTGGTGGTAGAAGAAGTAGAAAATGAGGGGATGCCCATCAACTGGGGGATGGCTGAGCTAAATACAGTATATTATTGTAATGGAATACTATTGTACTAAAAGACACGAAGAAAGGGACAGTTTCAGAGATTCTGAAAAGACCTGTATGAACCGAAGCAGAGTGAAGTCAGCAGAACCAGAAGAACAATTTATACAACAGTAGTAATACTGTAAAGACAAACAACTCTAAATGATCTCAAGCTCAATGCAATGACCAGCCAGGATACCAGAGGCCTAATGAAGCATGCTACCCACCTCCTGGTGATGGACTAAAGAGTACAGAATGAGATATCAATTTTTTAAAAGTGGTCAATGCAGTAATTTGTTTTCCTTGACTATGCATATTTGTTACAAGGATTTAGTTTTTCTTTTTTTTTTCCCATGGGGAGACAGAGAAAGGAAAGAAAACATTTATATTCTAACTGAGAAGGGAGACGAGATACAAATATACACAGATAAATCATAAAATAATCAGAAAGGGCAATAACAACTAGAAAAGAGGACAGATCAGAAAAGGCCTCATGTAGAAAGTGCTACCTGCGCTGTACTTTAAAAGAAGCCAGGGACTGAGTGAGGCAGAGGAAAACAGTACATTTCAGACATGGGAGACTACTTGCACAAAGACACAGAGTTGATAGATGGAATGTTGTGAACAGAGTATAGCCAGCAGGTGTATTTAACTGAACTGGAGTGTGTGAAAGAGAGGAATTTAAAACAATGGAAAGATGGTGGAAAGCACACCATGGAAAGCTTTACATGTCAAGCTAAGGAGCTTGTATTTTATTCTAGGGACAAAAGGAAGCCACTAAAGATTTCTGAATAGGTTAATGACATGGTCAGAGCTGTGTTTCAGAAAAATCAATTTGGGAGGAGTGTAAAGGATAGATTGAAGAGACTAGAGACAGGGAAATCATACAGATGGCTAATCCAACAGTCTCTATTATAGGTGTTGAACCACATTGGTAGCTATGTGAGGGGAGAGATGTAGATGTATGAAATGAACAACAAATGAAACTTTAAACATTTACTAAATGCCTATTTTATTCCAGGCACGGTGCTAAACCCTGAGGATACAAAGGGAAACATGAGCACACAAATTATTTAAAAGTAAATACAAGGTAACTGAGGGGCTCTATTAAGCAGGGGAGGAGAGAATCAAGTAAGGTCTCATGTAAAAGGTGGTGTTTCAGACTAGTCTGAAAGGAGATATGATTTTAAGAGGCAGAGGTGAGGAGGAAGTGAATTATAAACATGGGGAACGGTCCATACAAAAGCATCTAGTCAGGAGAAGAGGAACTGTCCTATAAGAAACAGCAAGGCCAGACTGGTGGCGACATAAGGTTCAGAAAGAGAAATAATGTGTACTAAGCCTGGAAAAGTAGGTTTGAGTATCATTATGAAGGACTTTAAATGCCAAAACAAGTCATTTGTATGTTAAGACCAGAGGAAAACACTGAAGCTTCCTGAGCAGAAGAGTGATATGGTCAGACCTATGCTTTAGGAATATCACTGGCAGTTTTGTGGAGGCTGGACTGGAGAGGGGAAAGATTGGGTACAAGAAGACCATTTAGGAGGCTATTTGAATAGTCCAGATCAGAGGTGATGAGGGCTTGAAACGAGGATGGTAGCCATGGGAGTGAGGGGAGGGGAGGAGGGTAGAATGGACAAGACTTCGCATCTAACTGTATACAGGGGCTGAAGGAGACAGAAGTCAAGATGCCTCCAAGATTGTAAAACTGAGTGTTTGGAAGGACGGTGGTACCCTCCACAGAAATTTGAAAGTTTGATAGAAGGACAATGTAGATGAGTCTTGGAGAATCTGAAATGCTTACAGGACATCCAAGTAGAAGTCATAACAGAAAGGGACTTTTTAAAATACATTATCATGAAATGTCAAAGTTCTAAGGGACCCTATGAGACAAAAAGAGTAGGAAGAGACCACCTAGCCCAACCTCCCCATTTTGCTGGGGGGGGGAGGAAACTGAGGTGGGACCAGGAGAAGTGAATTGCCCAAGGTCACACATCTTGTAAAGTTGTACAACTAGAACTTGAGTCCACATCTTCTGGCTTTAAATCCAGGTCTCTTTCCACTTCGCAATTACGGACAGCAAGGCCTCTTCTGGGGAACTTCCAGAGCAAAAGATGCGCCAGTCCTCCAGGGGCCTAGCGTGGGGCAGAGGGGCCGGGAGCCTCAGCGTAAGGCCCCCGTCTGCGCTTGCGCCCGGTCTGAGGGTAGGGAACCGCAATGAGAGGGAGTGTTCAGCTCCTATAGGGTCCCAGACCCCCTCGGGAGGAAGGGTCAGGCCGCGGGGGCCTCCTCCTTGACGGCACAGGAAAACCCACCGGCCCACCCCTCACCCAAAGTCCTCTCTGAAGCCACCTCTCACCTGGTAGTTCAGCAGCTCTCCTACGTCCATAATTTCCGAGACCCACCGCCACTTCAACGCTCAGCGTTAGGTTCTGGATTCCTCTTCCGCCGCTGCCCCTGGAGCCACACTGCCGCAAAGCACGCCGCCACCGCGCCGCGGCCCGGGGAGTAGGAAAAGTGGCGTGCCACACTGCGGTAAAAGAAAGCTCCGCCGGAAAGTGCCTCTTTTTTACGACAGCGTGGCTGTTTTTGACCTGCTGACCCGCCTGGGAGGGAAAGGAGACCCTGTGGAGGAACAGTTTTCCAGGCTTCTCACCAGTCTTTGTGGAACAATAATAATGGGTGTTTTTTCCCAAGTTGGATAAGAAATAGATGTTTCTGTTGAACGTCTAATTGTGAAGGTCTTAAAATGCCAAACAGTTGGTGGTGGGTCTAACCCTTCATCTTGCCCCAACCACCCCTCCAGGCTCACTTCACACTTCTCTCTTTCGGTGTTATGGATCCTATATGTAACATGCTGTGTCCACACAGGGCGGGCAAGCCAGCCTAGGTGAAGCAGCAAAGCACTCCAGGAGAGGGACAGGAGGCAGCATGTGCCCGGAGAGTCAAACCAGCACCACTACCACCTGGACTCTGATGGACAGCCCGGGATCCTGAACCCAGGAACCCTGGGGATAGCAGTGCTTCCAGGCCAGAATAGAAAGACGAGCCAAACGGACCTTCCTTTTCCTCACACAGGACATTCCATTTTCCCACGTGGTGGTGTGGCACAGGCTGTCCCCCACGACGGGCATGCTCACCTTTACCTCTGCCACAGTGCATCATCAGACATCAACCCCAATGGAGATGCTGCTTCGCAACCTCTCCTGCACGTGCTACAGCCCCCGAAGACCCAGACAGCAAAGTTCTTACCGCTAAAGTCCTCGACACTGGTCAGCATCAACCAATCACTAAACATTGATTAAGTGTCTACTATGTGCCAGGCACTGTGCTAAGCAGAAACTGATATGATTTTGATCAGTAGAAGTGACATTCAGGAAGTATGGGTAAGGACTGCTTTGTCACTGCACCCTAAGGACTGTGAGACTTTTCCATCTGACTTGAAACTAAAACCTTCCATATGAGTTGTCTCCCCTATTAGAAGGAGAGCACTTTTGAAAGCTGGAACTATCTTGCTTTTTTGTTTGTATCCCCAACATTTAGGACAGTGCTTTGCATGTAGTAAGCGTGCTTAATGCTTTATTTGTTCATTCATTCTAACCAAACTGTTCTTCCTGTTCCTCACACAGGATATTCCATTTTCCCACTTTGTGCACAGGTTGTCCCCTATACTTAACAGGCTCATCTTCACCTCTGCCTCTTAGAACAATTAGCTTCTACCGAAAGTACTTCTCTATATTATTCTGTAAAATATAACATCCTTGAAGGTAGGGACTTTTTTCATTTTTGTCTTTCTATCCTCAGCACTTGGCTTAGTGCCTGAAATAGTTTTTAATAAATAACCACTTGCTCTCAGACTCTGTTGGAGATAGCCCAGGACCCTGAGCCCAAGAGCCTCAGGAATAGTAGTGCCTCTAAACTCACAGCCTGGCTTTCATTCCAGCTCCAGAAGCCATCATCCAGTGAAACAATCCCTCTGGAGATAGAACCTAGCAGCTGCCTCTGCAGATGATGCAACCTGCTTCTCAGCAGCTGAAGCTACTGAAAACCTAGACTCAAGTCAATAAACATTTATTAATACCAGGCTGGAGATAGAAAGATGACGAAAATTCTCACTTCTCTCAAGGAGCTCACAGTCTAATGGGGAAGACGGACTGCAAACAATGATATATAGTGGATAAATTGGAGATGATATTGGGGGAAGGCACTAGCGTTAAGAGGGATCAGGAAAGGCTTCTTGCAATAGATGAGATTTTAGCAGAGATATGAAGGATATTGGGAAAAGGAAATGCTCACCAAAGTCTTTGGCATTGTCAAATGGTTCAATGTAATAAAAAATCTACATACTTTTTAAAAATGAAAATTATATATTAAAGAAAATGCATTACCATCTGCTTTGTCACTGCACCCTAAGGATCATTGGACCTTTTCATATGATTTGCAGCTGAAGCCTCCTATGTATGTTATCTCCACCTTTTAGAGTATGAGCACCTTAAGATAAGGGTTGCTTTTCTGTTTGTATCCCCAGCTCTTAGAGCAGCTGGAGTCAGTTAGACCTGAGTTCAAATCCAGCCTCAGCCACTTATTAGTATGTATGACCCTGAATATGTTATTTAATCTTTCTTTGCCTCAGTTTCCTCAACTGTAAAATTAGGATCATAATAGCATCTACCTCACAGGGTTGTTGGGACAATGTCTGGCACATAGTAGGTGCTTAATAAGTGCTTATTTCCTCCCCCCCCAACTGATGAACCATAAAAGAAGAAAACTTGGAGTCAAGATTTGAATCTCTGCTCTGACACCAGCTGAGCAACCAGTCAATTATCCTCTCTTCCAAATCTGTAAAATTAGGAATAAAAAAATGCCTATAGTCCCTACTTCACAGGGTTATGGTAAGGATCAAATAAGGTCATGCATGTAAAGCATTTCAGAAATCTTGAAACACTATGTAAATGTTAGTGATTGTTATAAGGAAACCTAGGCTCAGAGTGGAAGTGACTTTCCCAAGGTCACATAGCAAATTAATGGCAGAGAACCTTCTGGCTCAAAACCTAGTGCCATCTCACTGTCACCAGTCTCTCACCTCTCTGATTCATACTTCCTATCACTACGTTACTGTGTTCTTCATGTACAAATCTGATTATGTAACACTGATGCTCAAAATCCCATTGCCAGCTAAATTCAAACTTGTTAACATGGCATTCAATGCCTACAACAACCTTGCACCTCACCAAAATGACATACTCCAGCCAAAATGGACTATTCCCTGTGTCTGCCTTGGTACATTTGCTAATGCCGTTCCCTCTACCTAGAATGTCCTTCCCCCGCATTCACCTGTTGAATTCCTACCTATCCTTTAAAAATCCAATTCAAATTCTACTTTACCTATTAAGTTTTTCCTCATTCCTCATATGTATTTTGATAACTACTTTTTCCTTTTTAGATCTAACAGCATCCTATCTGCACCTTTCCAATTAAGTTTAATTCAACAAGCATTTATTAACGGGTGCTACTATGACCCCCAAAAGGGTTATAAAGACAAAAAAGGGTTACAAAGACAAAAAAAACCCCTCTGCCCTCTAGGAGCTTATATTCTGTTGTGGTGGCTACAATATACGTATATATTATATATATATATATATATATATATATATATATATGTGTGTGTGTGTGTGTGTGTGTGTGTGTGTGTGTATGCATATCATATATATACACATATATTTACATATACATATGTACATTACATATATATACACAGAAACATAAGTGGCACATAACAGAAACTGCCACCCACTCCTCATCCTGCACCCTGGGCTCCTGAGCCTCCCTCAGACTACATTAAGACACTGATGCAGAACAAAATGATACAAACCAAAAGACCAACATACCCAGTGATTACAATACTACAAATAAAAATGAATAAGCATTTATTAGGCACCTACTATTGACTGAGCACTGTGCTAAGTCCTGAGGATTCAAAGAAAAATGGAAATAGTCACAAACATTAAAAGACATCAGAATTCAGACTCTACACAACTCCTAATTTTGATACCAGAAAATTAATCATGAAACTCACTTTCCTCCTTTACATAGAGACAGTGGTCTGTGGATTTGAATAGTTGCACGTGCTGTCAGACGAAGTCCCCATATTGTAGGTGTGGTTTTGTGGGGTTAGGAAATTAGGGACTTAACTTTTTCTCTTCTAGAAAAGGTTCTATGGTGGGAGTGGAGTTTATTGGGTAGTGACAGTATAAAAAAAATCACTAAAAAAGTATCAGTAAGATCTTTTATTTTCAAGGGAAAAAATATCTGTTAGACTTCAGAGTCAGGAGATCTGGGGGTTCAAATTCTGGCCCTGACACTTGCTAGCTGTGCAAATGTGAGCAAATTAATTATCCTTTCTAAGCCTTGGGTTCTTTATATGTAAAATGAGAAAAATAATATCTATACCTCAGTTGTAGGGAAAGTGCTTTGAGAACCCTAAAGTGATGGAGAAATATGTATCATCAATGAGTCTAGATGCAAACCAGTTAAAATCTTCACATCTTATACTGAAACCTTGGTTAAATTTCTGCAGTGTGTCAGGACACCACTTACTAATTCTGCAACCTCAGACAAAGTCATTTACCTTCTCTGAGCCTTCATTTCTTCATCTATAAAAAGAGGTTAGAGTAAATAATCTCTGAAGCCCTTTCCACCTCTAAATCCTAGGACCCTATGTTTCTCCTCAAAATGGGCTTTTGACCACGTTTTAAGCATTCTAAGTGTAAAATCAAATGTAAGCTATTGTCTATTCAGTAAGGTGCAAACTCCTTAAAGACAGAAACTGTTTCATTTTTATCTCAGAATACTCAAAGCATAGTGCTCGAGCATAGGAGACACTTCCTTCATTCAATAAACATGTATTAAGTACCTACTGTGTCCCAGGCACAGCACTAAACACTCAGGATACAAAAAGAGACAAAAGACAGTCCCCGCCCACAAGGAGCTTATAACTTAATGAAGGAGACAACATGCAAACAATACATACAAAGCAAGCTGTAAACAGGATAAATAGGAAGTAATTGAAAGAAGGAAGACTCTAGAATTAAGAAATGCTAGGGAAGGCTTCCTGTCAAAAATGAGATTTTCGTTAGGACTTAAATGAAGCCAGTAAGGTCAGTAGTAAGAGAAGAAGAGGGAGAGCCTTCCAGGCACGGGAGACAGCCAGAGAGAATGCCTGGAGCTGAGAGCCAGGGCATCCTGTTCTTGGAATAGCCAAGAGGTCAACGTGTGACTGGACACAATAAATACTTATTAATATTATCATTTTAATTAAAAGGTACATAGGGCTTACAGCTAAAAGAGACCCTAGAGATCACTAAGCCCAACTTTCTTATTTCCCAGAAAGGGAAATTGAAGGCCAGAGAGGGCAAGTGACTTATACATGGTTGTGATAAAGCTAAGTCTCACACTCAACTCCTAGTCTACTGTTCTTTCCACTGTAC